TATTCCAGCTTGCAGGACTGGCCTAGGGTAATTTTTAGGGGGGTTTTAATTATATTTTAAATTCGACAATTATTTAATATTCTTTTTAATTAATTTTAAATTTGTATTGTTTTGTATGTATTTTAAATAGATTGTCAGCCGCCCTGAGTCCTACGGGAGAAGGGCGGGATATAAATTCAAATATAAATAAATAAATAAATAAATCGTGGTCTCCTACCCAGAAAGAGCTTGGAGCTTAGAACAGTGTTTCTCAACCTTGACCATTTTAAGGCATGTGGACTTCAACTCCCAGAATTCCACAGCCAGCATTGCTGGCTGTGGAATTCTGGGAGTTGAAGTCCACATGCCTTAAAATGATCAAGGTTGAGAAACACTGAGCTAGAACATCCTTGGCTTGCTAACTTTCTGATTGCAGGGAGTTGGCTATTTGGGGGCAATTGAAGAAAAGGGTCTGCAGTGGGGAGATTCATGCTTACTTAGGATGTCAACCAAGCCTACCCTTTTCCATAGGGCCCAAATAATGCCTGGACTCGTCCTCATGGGACTCTCTCCGAACTGGGAATCCTTATTTGTTTGCTTTTGCAGAGTCTTATTCTCCCGAGCCTGCTTCTGTCTGTGGCTTGAGGGAGTATGGAAACTGAGAAGGACACAGTTGCTTTTGCCACCTTGTTGTATCTGAGTTTATTTTAATTACTTCTGTTTTGTAAAGCCCACTACAGGTATCCTCCACTTACAACCACAATTGAGCCCAACATTTCTGTTGCTAGGTATGACATTTAAGTGAGTTTTGCCCCGTTTTACAACCTTTGTGGTCACATTTGTTAAGCGAATCACTGAAGTTGTTAGTAACATGGTTGCTAAGTAAATCTGGCTTCCCCATTGACTTTGCTCAGCAGGTCTCAAAAGGTGATCACATGACCTTGGGACACTGCAACCGTCGTAAATATGAGTCAGTTGCCAAGTGTCTGAATTTGGATCACATGACCGTGGAGATGCTGCAGCGGCCACAAATGAGAAAAATGGTCATAAGTCACTTTTTTTAGAGCTGTTGTAATTTCGAACAGTCATTAAATGAACTGTTATAAATCAAGGATTACCTGTACATGCTGGATCTTTTTCATTCAGTTAAGTCTTTCAAGAAAATAAGAGTAATATGCGTGTAATATTTGTATACTGTGTTCTTGAAATATTTAAAATATGGAATGCTAGTTACTATTTTATAATCTAGTTTATTATATACTAGTTTATTATCCAGCCTGTGTGAATGTATAATATAGAGATATATGTTCAACTCGAGGTGGCAAACATAGTAATACTCTTGTCTTTTATTTTCCCCACAACAGCAAACCCTGTAAGATGGGTTGAGCTGAGTGGCTGACTCTATTGGCTTTCATGACTAAGGCAGGACTGGAACTCACTGTCTCCTGGTTTCTAGGCCAGCTAATTAAAGTTCATGGAATAATTGGTTTAATTGGTTTGCTACAATTTTCCCCAAATTGTAGATGGGGTAGACTTGTATACAGAAAGCCAGTTTCAGCACAGAAAGCTGTGCTGGCTCAGGAATTCTGGGAGTTGAAGTCCACGAGTCATAAAAGAGCCAAGGTTGCCTACCCCTGGCCTAGTGGTTAAAGTACCAGGCTAGAAACCAGGAGATTTAGATTAAATCCTACCTTAGCCATGAAAGCCAGCTGGATGACCTTAGGCCAGTCACCTTCTCTCAACCTAGGATTGTTGTGGGAAAAACAGGAAGGAAGGATCATTAGATATGTTTGCTGCCTTGAGTTATTTGCAAAAATAATAAAGGGATATAAAATACTATAGCAGAGGTGATATTTGAGTTCAGTGTAGCAACATATTGTCCTGCTGTACTGTCATAAAATTAAATATCAAACAGTAATAACTAACGAGAAATAGGCCAAGTACATTGGCTTGGTTGAAACTTAACAGATTTATCACTTCTGTTGGAAAGACATATATACATTAATAGACTCGTTTATATGAGGATTTATGACACATCAGCTGGGACCAAAACCAGAATATGTTATGGAAACATTTATGCATTTTGTTGCAACTGTAGCCTCTCAGGAATTGTAATTTCTGTATTTTAGCCCTAATGCTAAGTTTGCCCCCTTCACTGTTTTGATAAAGTCAGATCCATATGGCATAGATGACCTTGTATTGTAGCCTAACATATAAAATTGCATTTTAATTTTTTCTTACTTATTTTCTAGTTTTCCTTTGCTAGCTAGGTTGCTATTTGGAGAAGACCTTACTAAAATTATTACATTCCACCTAATGCGAGTAATAGAGGAGTGTGTATTTTGAAGGAACAAAAATGAATATTCTTATTTTACCTCTTCAAAATTACAGCCACTGAACAAAGCAGATTTGTAGCACTCAGTTGATTATTAGTAATAGACCAGATGTACCCTTTAAATAGGCCTATTTTGAATAATTGAATATAAAGCTTAAAGAGGAGCAATTGGAAAACTGATATTTGTTTGACAAACTTTATTCTGCTATGTCATCTTCCTCGCCTCTGATAATCTTACCCAAAGATAATTTGATATAAACACCAAAGTGCTGTTGTTGTAAAAAGCGCTTATGTCATGGCCTAAGGCTCCCAAGTGACTTTCTTGGCTTTTAAAGAAGAATGTAGTTGGAAGAGGATAGTGTGAGTAGATATCATTTGAGAACTTGATGTAGCAATAGGATGAAGGCTTAAAAAAATAAGGCATGAAAGCAAGAAGCATATATGCCTGTTCCTTCAGAAGCCTTTGCTTACCCTTTATTTCTTTTGGAGAACTTCAGAACAGCCGTTTATGAATATGATCCAAGAAAGGGAGAAAGGCCCATCTTTTCATGGAGTGAAGAAAAGTGGGAACTTTTTTTGTGCTATTTCTCTACTTGCTGTTGTGCCAAAAGCTTTGTATATTTGGAATATGGATATTTCTACCATAATTGTTCAATTTTACATGCAATTATTCTGTTTTCAACAGTTTTACTCCTTTTTATTTAAGCACCTGACTGATCTTTTCTGGAGTTAAAAGCTAAATGACATTCATACTTTCCAGAAAGAAGGAAATGGCAAATCATAGGTTGCCAAGAAATCGAAATGGATATGTGCATGAATTAACAGAATAACAGGGTTGGAAGGGACTTTTGAGGTCTTCTAGTCCAACCCCCTGCTCAGGCAGGAAACCCTATACCATTTCAGACAAATGGCTGTCCAATCTCTTCTTAAACACTTCCAGTGCTGGAGCACCTACAACTTCTGGAGGCAAGTCGTTCCACTGATTAATTGTTCTGTCAGGAAATTTGTCCTTAATTCTAGGTTGGTTCTCTCAAGTCAAATTCACATTGATTTGAGCTTCTTCGAAGAAATGTGCTTTTGGCAATAACGTTTTTATTTTGCTGGACTCCTTATTGTTGCCAATATTTTATGGAAATATACTTTTTAAAAAAATATTTTAGCTCTGGAAGTAATTCACATACATTTTTTAAAAAAGCAGAAACTTTGGACTTTTGGACTTTTTTTCAAAGATAGGCCTCACTTTTTATGTTAATCGGGTTAGGACACTGATAGCCATTCTTTCAGTGGTTTCAATGCTCTTTTCTAAAATAAAAGCACAGTTCTCAGAAATCTGGTTACGGTAGATTGTTGGCCTTTTGTGCTGTTTCATTTGGCAATTGCCCTGTTTTAATAATGGCATATATCATTCTTTCACGAAATCTGCATCAAACATCTCTGAAATAGCACCTGACTCTGGTGCTCCTTTATCATTCATCTACATTGTTTTTCTGCATTGAAGGATTGGTACTAGAGTTGAAAGTGGCTGGTTACCAGTTATAAAGAGAAAAAAAGAAACCTATTCCTTGGGCATGTAAGACTGTATGAAAATTATGGTACAGGTAGTCCTCAACTTAAAATGATTCATTTAGTGGCCATTCAAAGTTACAATGGCACTGAAAAAAAGCAACATGACCGTTTTTCACACTTAACCACTGCAGCATCCCCGTGGCTATGTGATCAAAATTTGGATGCTTGGCAACTGACTCATATTTATGATGGTTGCACTGTCCCGGGGTCATGTAATCACTTTTTGTGGACCTTCTGACACGCAAACGACGAAGCCAGGTTCACTTAACCGTGTTACTAGCTTAACAATTGTGGCAAGAAAGTTCATAAATTGGGACAAAACTCACTCAACTGTCTTGGTTAGCAATGAAAATTTTGGGTTTCATTTGTGGATTATCTGTAGTGCAGAGGTCTTCAAACTTGGCCCTTTTATGACTTGTGGACTTCAACTCCCAGAATTCCTCAGCCAGGTACGCTGAGTTTGAAGACCGCTGTTCTAGACCAACTTCCTGCTCAGGCAGGAGACCACTCAGCCAGTTTTCATGCCTAGGGAAGACTAGAACTCACAGTTCCATGGTGATTGACCCAAACAAACCCAGTCAGTTTTCATGCCTAAGACGGGACTAGAACTCACAGTTGTCTGGTTTCTAGCCTGGTGCCTTAATCACTAGATCAAATTTGCTCTCTATCCTCTCCAGCAGGGGTCTTCAAACTCGGCCCTTTTATGACTTGTGGGCTTCAACTCCCAGAATTCCTCAGCCTGGCTGAGGAATTCTGGGAGTTGAGGTCCACAAGTCATAAAAGGGCCATGTTTGAAGACCCCTGCTACAGTAATATATCTGCTTCAGCACTTGGGTCTCTGTTCCTTATTCATAGTTTTGCAATAGAGTACTCCAAATTCAGATTAAAATACCATAATTGGTGCGACCCAATTGGGAAATGGTTTAAGAACAGTCACATCATATCGAGGGGGCGTAGATTGGATGCTGTGCAGCTGCCAAAATTGAGTGATCTACATTTACCTCTCTGGAAACTCGATTGCCACGACTGGAAGAGAAGCGTTCACGATGACTCTCATCTCTTTCCAGGATGTCTTCCGGTGCTTTATTCCCAACCTTGGTGCCCGGTTCTCGGGGCTCGTCGAGCAAATACCTGGTAGAGTTCCGTGCCGGAAAGATGTCTCTGAAAGGCAGCACTGTCACTCCTGATAAGCGGAAGGGCCTTGTCTACATTCAGCAAACGGACGACTCCCTCATTCACTTCTGTTGGAAAGACAGGACATCTGGGAACGTGGATGATGTAAGTGGAATGCTCCAGTCACTGGATTGTACTTGCCATAGATTTAGAGCGGGTTTGACCATTGATGGCAAGAAAAAATAGAGGGCTTGTATGCATGTTTGTTTATTATATTTTTTTTGACCCCACCTCTTAAGTTAAATTCAACGCCGCAAACATAAAATAATACTCCTTCCTCTTCCTGTTTTCCCCAACATAACATCATGTGAGGGGAACTGGGTTGGGTTGAGGGGACGTGCCTGGCCCCAAAAACCTACCCAGCTTTTCATGCCTAAGGTGAGACTATTGCTCGCAATCTCCTGGTTTCTAGGCCACCACTAGACCAGGGGTAGGCAACCTTGGCTCTTTTATGACTTGTGGACTTCAACTCCCAGAATTCCTGAGCCAGCCAAGCTGGCTCAGGAATTCTGGGAGTTGAAGTCCACGAGTCATAAAAGAGCTAAGGTTGCCTACCCCTGCCCTAACCTGATGTAGCCTCCTCATCAGTAGACCATCTCTGATGGCTATCACCGGACCCATCACAAGACCCTCACTCGATACACCCACACCTGAAGCCCTTAAAAACTGACACTGACAGCCCCCCTAAACTCTGGGAGTTGAAGTCCACGAGTCATAAAAGAGCCAAGGTTGCCTACAAACTGGCTCTCATTTATAATAACAAATGGAGTTACAAGCTTTGGGGTGACATAGTTTAGCCGCCTCTTCTCTCCTATTTTGCCAGAAAAAGAATAAACATTGAACGTATGAATCTGTGTAAAATTACCTCTTTCTGCACAGAGGCATGCGTTTACTTTTATTTCGCACCCAGCGTCCGCAGCTCCTAGAAAACCATGCTGATAAACGCCTAATTCAAACTTTGTGCAAATTATGTGTTCTGCTTTTCCCCGGGACATCCTGTTTTGTTTTGTTTTTTTTATCTCAGGAAGCACACTGACTCAACTATCCAATGATAGTTTTTCTTTTTTTTTGAAAATGAACCTTCAAGAAAGGGAATTGGTTTGTGGTTTTTCCAGGCATCTTTTTTTTTTTTTTTATAATAAATTTTTATTAATTTTTCAATTAAAAAAAAAAACATAGATCTTTTATCACAATATCAACCGAAGAAAATAACACTAATCAATACATTCACGGACGTGTCCGGTGTCCCCCCCCCCCTGCACCGCCCTCTTCCACTTACCACACCTTCCTCCTCCCAACCTACCACCACTCCTCCTTCCTCCCTCTTTCCTACCTCCCTTCCTCACTCAACCATCCCGTCTTGTGCAGTTGGGGCACCACCGGACACCACCTTAAAAAATCATACATATAAATCTATAATACAAACCTACCCCATTCCCCCCTCCCCCCCCATGACTTCCCAAAGCTAATCTAGGAAATAAACACACAATAATCCAATTCTATTCAAAACTACTCATTATTTTTCCAGGCATCTTTTAATCCCCAAATTTCTGGGCTAGACAATATATGGGAATGGCAGAACACTTGATCTAGAATAGGCAACCTTGGCTCTTTTATGACTCGTGGACTTCAACTCCCAGAATTCCTGAGCCAGCATGGCTCAGCTTGGAAACCTCTCCCTTTCCCCTCAGCATGGCTGGCTCAGGAATTCTGGGAGTTGAAGTCCACGAGTCATAAAAGAGCCAAGGTTGCCTACCCCTGGTCTGGGAGATTGATTTCCAGAAAGAGCTGCATGATTTCCCCCAGATAATTAGAATGGTACCTTCCAGGGAGGAATTGAACATGAAGTTTTCCTTGTCCCTTATGGTAGATTGAGAAAATCAGTTATTGATCAGCACTGATTGATATGTAAATATTTAGGTCCCGTCTTTGTTTTTTTTTTTAGGACCTGATTATATTTCCTGATGACTGTGAATTTAAAAAGGTACCTCAGTGTACTACTGGCCGTGTCTTTGTATTGAAATTCAAGGCTGGATCCAAGAGACTTTTCTTCTGGATGCAGGTTTGTGAGTGCCTCAGTCTCAGTGTCCTGTGTTTCTCTAGGAATTGCAATGTGATGCTGTACAGTGCAACATCAGTACGTCTAGAGAAGATTTTGAGCGATAACCAATCATGAAATTGATAAGAGAAGAGTCAGCCATCCTAACTTTGGATCAAGGTCATATGTACCTTTAGGGGAGGGTCTGTTTTAACCTCAAATGGTCGCTAATTGGCCATAAATTGAGGATCTCTTTTATGGTGAAGCCTAAGATGTTAAGAGTGACTTATCTGTTCTGTTACTTATCTGTTTTTTCTGTCTTTTCTTTTTCTTTCCAGGAACCGAAGACGGAGAAAGATGAAGAGCACTGTCGTAAAGTGAATGAGTACCTCAACAACCCACCCATGCCTGGCGCTCTCGGAGGCAGTGGAAGTGGGGGCCATGAACTTTCAGCCCTTGGAGGTCTGAGCCTCTTCCAGGAAGCTCTTTCTGCCCAAGCTTTTAGTCATTTAGTTCTGGTGCTTTAAGGATTTCTTTTAAACCCAGTTATAAAATCTTTGGTGCTGGCTAAAACTCAAAATCACGTATAAAATGGTAAAAAAAAATGTGCTTTGACAGTAGCAGTAAACCGAGGCAAAATCAAAATCATCTGAGGTATTAGTATCGCCTTATAAAGCCTTAGTAAGACCACACCTGGAATCCTGCGTCCAGTTTTGGTCACCACATTGCAAAAAAGATGTTGAGACTTTGGAAAGAGTGCAAAGAAGAGCAACCAAGATGATTAAAGCCCTGGAGACAAAAACATATGAAGAATGGCTTCAGGAACTGGGTATGGCCAGTCTAGAGAAAAGAAGGACTGTGTGCGTGTGTGTGGGGGGGGGGACATGATAGCAGTCTTCCAATATTTGCCACAAAGAAGAGGGGGTCAACTTATTTTCCAAAGCACCAGAAGGCAAGACAAGAAACAATGGATGTAAACTAATTAAGGAGAGAAGCAACTTGGAATTAAGGAGAAACTTCCTAACAGTGAGGACATTTACCCAGTGGAACAGCTCTCCTTAATTCCAGGTTGCTTCTCTCCTTGATTAGTTTCCATCCATTGTTTCTTCCCTTGCCTTCTGCTGCTTTGGAAAATAAGTTAACCCCCTCCTCTTTGTGACAGCCCCTCAAATATTGGAAGACTGTTATCATTTGTGTCGTGTTCACACACACCCCCACCCCCCCCCAGTCCTTCCTTTCTCTAGACTGGCCACATCCAATTCCTGCAACCGTTTTTCATACGTTTTAGTTTTCAGGCCTTTAATCATCTTAGTTGCTCTTCCCTGCATTTTTACTCTGCACAAGATGGATTGTGGAAAAATGTTCTGAAAGGAAGGTGCTTTTTTGTGTATATCTGTTAAATGTAGCACCAAAGCTTTCCTTCTGTTAAGCAGTTTGCATTGCTTGGCATTTAGTTACGCAGTTATAAACATTGGGTTTTTTCTTTTCTTTTTTCTCTTTAGGTGAGGGTGGCTTGCAAAGCCTTCTGGGAAACATGAGTCATAACCAGCTGATGCAGTTGATTGGACCAACGGGCTTAGGAGGACTTGGTAAATGCTTTCGTGATATTTATGTAAAAGGGTATTTCAATTTTACCTTAGCTTTTAGTTTTAGTAAATAGCTATCATGCCACTGAGGAGACCATAGTTAGATCAAAGTGCCCTGATTTGTGAATATTAGTATGGGATGCAGGAGCATTAGTTTAAACTGTTTTGTTTTCTTCAGTGGTTGGTCATCTAGCAAGACCTTTTGCCAGCCATTGAATTGATGCAAAACTCCTCTTATTGCATGGCTGCAGGCAGAATTGCTCTGTTGCTTCCCGGTATATGAGAGACCTAAGAATGGTGCTTCTAAATATCTGTATGTTAATCAAAACTAATAGAACAAGACAAGGAAGAATGCCTTTACTTTACTCTTTACCCTCCTTTCCTTTCCTTTCGTTCCCTTCCCTTCCCTTCCCTTCCCTTCTCTTACAAAATGTATGCCTTAGTGTGGCATGAGATGCTAATGGGCTGCTCAGTAAGCATGCTTGGATAGTCTGATACTTTGGGGCAGGTGTACCTAGAGATGGTTTAGGAAGGAATAGATCAGTGTTTCTCAACCTTGACAATTTTAAGGCATGTAGACCTCAACTCCCAGAATTCCACAGCCAGCAATGCTGGCTGTGGAATTCTGGGAGTTGAAGTCCACATGCCTTAAAATTGTCAAGGTTGAGAAACACTGGAGTAGATCATTTGGTGTTATAGTCCCTATTGGTTTTTCTCCACTCTTGGCTGGTTGCGGAGGCCTTGACTTGGTGCTCTGACTGTTAAGTAATAAAGTGAGAGGTTCCTTTAATAGAATAATTGATCACATGGCCATTGTGCTTCCTTTTTTATTTACTGCTGTTCAGGGTTCCACGGTAGGGCATAGTTTCCTGAAGGTGGCGACAATTGTGAGCCTTTGCCCCAAAAGCGTTGCAGCTGATCTCCCATCATTTGTGGTTCTGAATGTATGCTCTAGAACTTTTGATCATATTTGATTCAAGACTGGTTTGATACATGAAATTGGAAGACCTGGTGTGCAGCTATTATTTCGGCGATACCTTTTGAGAATCCTCTGACTGATAGAGTTTTATGATGTGGGAATGCACAATTTAGCCTCTCACGAGAGACCTATAAAGTAAATTAGGTTTGCAATAAGAATACGCTTGGTTAAACTTTTTTCTAAGAAATGGCCTCCTTTTTTTTATTCTTATTGTTAATTGTGCCGATAGGTGGACTCGGTGCTCTGACAGGTCCTGGCCTGGCTAGTCTGTTGGGCAGTGGGGGGCCTCCAACTAGCAGCTCTTCTTCAAGGTAAGAAGTTTAAATGTCCTTTTAAATATTAATGTAGGGGTAGAAGTTAATTTCATTATATGTTGTGATGTTTTAAGGCCTCTCAGCCACACAGTGGGACAATTTTATGCCACAAAATCAGCTCTCCTGTACCTGAGCTAAATCAGCCGCATCTGCAATTGTGGTGTCTCACCACAGTTCTAGGTCCTCAGCTTACAACCACAATTGAGCCCAAAATTTCTGTTGCTAAGTAAAATGTTAGTGACTCTTGTCCCATTTTACAACCTTTTTTTATCACAGTTAAATAAATCGCCGCAGTAGTTAATTTAGTAACACTGTTGTTAAGTGAATCTGGCTTCCCCATTGACTTTGCTTGTCATAAGGTCGCAAAAGGGGATCACGTGACCCCCGGGACACTGTGACTATCATAAATATATGCCAGTTGTATGTCTGAATTTTGATCACGTGACCACGGGGATGCCGCAACAGTCACGTGTGAAAAACGGTCATAGGTTCCAGTGCGATCACTGTATGAGCTGTTGTAAGTTGAAGATTACTTACAGTGGCTCTTTCAGCACCAGTTTTGCACTTACAAAACTGAGATGGGAACAGACATTGTCAGTCTTGTCAGGTCTGAGGGTGATCATAACAAATCAGAGGTGCAGTGAGGGGGGGAAAGTATTTGATCCCCTGCTGACTTTGTACGTTTGCCCACTGGTAATCAATTTATAACTTTTTTGAAATGCTTTTTTCTGGATTTTTGTTTGTTTGTTATTCTGTCTCTCACTGTTAAAATAAACCTACCGCTGAAATTATAGACAGATCGTTTCTTTATCAGTGGGCAAACGTACAAAATCAGCAGGGTGATCGAATAATTTTTTCCCTCACTGCATCAGCCTCCTGTGGCACTTTTATACCTCACCCTGTTAGCCTCCCATAAAGAATTATGCTTGTACAAGTGAGATTTACAATTGCAATGGATCCTGCCCATTATGGTCATAAAGAGGGCCATCGCATGACTGATCCAATTTTACGACATTTTCTTGAGGCAGTCGTTAGAAGCAACGGGTGGAAACTGATCAAGGAGAGAAGCAACCTAGAACTGAGGAGAAACTTCCTGACAGTTAGAACAATTAACCAGTGGAACTACCTGCCTCCAGAAGCGGTGAATGTGCCAACACTGGAAGTTTTTAAGAAGAGACTGGACAGCCATTTGTCCGAAATGGTATAGGGTTTCCTGCCTGAGCAGGGGGTTGGACTAGATGACCTCCAAGGTCCCTTCCAACTTTATTATTATTATTATTATTATTATTATTATTATTATTATTATTATTATTATTATTATTATTATTATTATTATTATTAATTCAGCCCTCTCCAATTCAGTCCCTTATGGAAAGCACCTTTTCCCTATTAGTCCTGCAGAGCTCATTCAAGTCTTTATGGCACCCAGTTTGAAAAACCCCAAACTCTAGAACAGTATAGGTAGACCTCAACTTATGACCGGGCTTTCCTTCGGGCTATTTATGACCCAGATTCAAAGTTCCAATAGTCAGGGGCCCTCTGGGGTCACATGACCAAACTTCAATTCTTTAATAATAATAATAATAATATTATTATTATTATTATTATTATTATTATTATTATTAAACAAACTTGTTCACTATGGGGTGTTTTTGCTGAAAACCGGAAGTGAACGTCGTCATGAATTGTGGTCATGTGACTGAGGGATGCTGCAAATGGTCAAAAAATGCAGGCTGTTTGCCAAGTAGCTGAAATGTCATGTGATGGGGGAAACTGTGGAACTGGGTTGTAAGTACCTCTTTGGGGGTCGTAATTTCAAACAGCTGCTAAGCAATTGGTCATAAGTCAAGGACTACCTTTATTGGGGAAAAATATTAGTGCTTTGTTACTTATTTCAATAATTCTTGTGTTACCTATATAGACCAGTGTTATTCCTTTATAGCAAATGGGCATTAGAGATGCAGGCATGGAAGTGATCTAACATTTTCCATGGAAAGGGGGTGTACTAAAGGAGAACATTTACAACTTCTTTCCAAGCTGTACCTGGGTATGGGTGTGGAATGATTTGTTTAGCAGGGTGTGCTTTGTAACTAAAGGAAGGCTACTTCTCTACTTCCAGTGTTTTTAAAAGGTGATTTAAAATGGTGGTTGTCATTCTATAGGAACTGAAATTTGTGTCACGTTTCTCCAAAATTGTAAGTTCATGGCTGGAACGTGAAATCATCTGTTGCCCTTTTATAAGTTAAGAGTTTGTATTTTTATTTTTATTTTACAATTCTTTGCGACTTCTGTTTTATCCCAAGTATAAAATATAAAGGGAAATAGAAATAGAAAATTAGGGGAAGGAAAAACAGAGGAGGAAAAAAGAAAATATGGTGCAGAAGGGGAAAAAAGCAAAAAAGCGTTGACTTCTGACTCTTTTTAGCACAGCAGAAGATGACATTGTAGCCTCAACTTTTTACTTTTACACATTAGTATATAACTAGCCATTTCTGTAACAACAAATCTATTTCACTTCTGGGTTTTGTGTGCTTGTGATGAAAAAAAAAAGTTAAGAGTTTGAAACTGAGAAGAAGAGTCATAAGGAATTGTCAAATGAAGAATAGATGGTGGCCTAAATTAGAAGCTCACTTCTTAACCCCCTTCTCTCTAGCTGAGAAATAACAGTTGCAGAATTTTTCCCCAAATCTTTCAGTTCTCGCAGCCAGTCAGCAGCTGTCACACCATCCTCCAGTACCTCCTCCACACGGGTGACGCCCGCTCCTGCTGCTCCTGCAGCTGCCGCAGCCACTACTCCTAGTCCTGCTCCCAGCTCAGGAAATGGGACCAGCACCGCAACAAGCCCTACACAACCTATCCAGCTGAGTGATCTTCAGACCATCTTAGCTACTATGAATGTACCAGCCGGAACAGGAGGACAGCAAGGTAAACAAGGGTTGCAACTTTGATACGTCTCTCTAAACCAGGGGTAGGCAACCTCGGCTCTTTTATGACTCGTGGACTTCAACTCCCAGAATTCCTGAGTCAGCATAGCTGACTCAGGAATTCTGAGAGTTGAAGTCCACGAGTCATAAAAGAGCCGAGGTTGCCTACCCCTGCTCTAAACGGGCATCTTTCCTTGAACTTCCATCCTAACAATTCAGTCTTTATTACCCCCAACCTGGAGTTAGATAAAGTTCTGGACTTCAGATAACGACAGTATGAACCAGTGTTAGGTAGCTGTCGGTTAGAATCGACTAGGATGTGGTAGTAATGATTTTTATACTTATTATTGGGGGTATTCCCAGGTTATTCTTGGAATTTGTGATCCCCTGTAGCATCTTTGCTAATTCCTTGTACCTCAAGAGGCCATCTTAATTGTATCCTTCCACAGTTGACCTGTCCAGTGTGCTTACTCCAGAAATAATGGCACCTATTCTGGCCAACACAGAAGTTCAAGAGCGCTTGCTGCCTTACCTTCCTTCAGGGGAATCTCTGCCGCAAACTGCAGAGGAGATTCAGAACACGCTCACCTCTCCGCAGTTCCATCAGGTAAGCAATTTCATGTCAGTAGAAGATCAGAACTGGATTCCAGGTTGAATAAGAAGGTCTTAAGTTAACTTGTGCAGGTAGTTCTTGACCATAATTGAGCCCAGAGTTAAAACTAGGTCAGTATAGATCAGGGGTGTCAAACTCAATTTCATTGAGGGCCGCATCAGCATTGCGGTTGCCCTTGGGGGGGGCGGGGGTGTGTGATCAGGGTGGGTGTGGCCTACTGGGTGGGCGTGGATGGAGTGGGTGTGGCCTACTGGGTGGGCATGGCCAGCTTTACATCGTTCGCGTCAAGGGTGCCTGTGGGGGCCTGGGCAGGAGTGGGACAGATCTGAGGGTCTCTGGCAGAAGGGGGTGGGACCGGGGCAAGTGTCAAGGCATGGTCCATTTCTTCATTCCTCACAAAGGGTGACACCTCCCCAGCATGCACCCAGGGGGCGGGGGCAACACAGCAGGGGCTGGTTCCTCGCTGTTTCCAGACGGCCTTGTGGAGCTAAAACTGAATGCACTTCAGCATAAATGGCCACCACAAAATTGTACATTGGCTCCCGGCCGGCCAGGGCCAAGGCAGCGGGGGGCGTTCCCTCACTGTTTCCAGGATGGCTTCGCGGGCCACATGAAACCACTTTGCGGGCCGCATCCAGCCCCCGGGCCTTGTGTTTGACATGTCTGATCTAGATGTTAAGTCAAAGCATCATATGTCCGGACCCTCTTTTTGAACATTTTTTTTGGTGGTGGTTAAGCAAATGCCACACTCATGAAGCAAATCCATTTTCCCCAAAAGCCTTTTTTTTTTTTTTTTTTGGCTGGAGATTGGAAGTAAACACTGGAAACTGGCAAAACAAAAAGGGGCAAATCATGTTTATGTAACTGCAGGTGCTGCAAAGGTGAGCCGTTTTGCCAAGTACTGAAAATGCGGTTATGTGACTGCTGAAGGGGCCAGGCGAATGTTGTAACTTTGAACATGAGTCCTAAGTACTGTGTTTCCCTGAAAATAAGACCAGATCTTTTTTCTTTTTTTTTGCCTCCAAAAGAGGCACCAGGTCTTATTTTCGGGGTAGGCCTTACTTCACCTCCGGCACTGACAGCCCCACCCAGTCGGTCCACTTCTTCTGGGGCCGAAGTTCTGCAGCTGCATTCGGGCCTGCATTTTGCAGTCAGGCCTTTCCAGAAGGCCTAACCAGCCGAGTACCGAGCTATAGCGGCTGAACCGAGTTATGGATTCAATCCATAGCTCGATTCTTGGCTGCACAGGCCTTCCAGAAAGCCCGGTGACTGAGAAATGCAGGCCTAGCTGCAGAAGAGGCCTCAGAAGAAGAAGTGGGCTAGCGAGGAGAGGCCTAGCTGCAAGGTAAGTGGGGGGGGGCAGCTCCACACCCCCATCCCCACCCTTGCTTGACTTTTAGGTGTGCGCCTCACCCCAAAACTAGGGCTTATTTTGGGGGTAGGGCTTACATTAGGCCCATCCCCCAAAATCAAGCTAGGCCTTACTTTTGGGGAAACACGTTAGCTCTGGGGAAATCCATTGTAACTTTGAACTGTCACTAAATGACATAAATTTATGAACCAAAGAGGCCTAAAGGGTCAGGTTAGGAAAAGGTTATGTGGAGAATGAGAGACAGTTCATTCAGACATTTACATGTTATTTTAACCAATAGAGCGTTGCTGGTGTTCTATCTGAAGCTTTTGATAGTACCGTTATGTTCTGTTTGGGGGCTGTGTTGCTTACTCATTTCTGATTTACATTGACTTATCCCAGCACTGCTTAGCTATGAGTCCACGGGATTAGCGATAATTCAACTAAGAATTATAGTTGTTACACCACCACCCGTGTTGTGATAGTTTACAACAAAGCTAGTGGCCCTAGCTAATTTCTTTAGCTCTAATTGACACATCAAGAAATTATAGGACAGAGGTTGTGTTTTGAAATTAGAGCATAATATTCTAGGATAGAAAGAAAAGGTAATGAATGAAATATGATTGGATTGTATCATAGGTACAATCCATGAGAAGGATCCCTCATCTACCTTTGTGGTCTGTAGCCAATGGGAACTGGATTTTTTTATTTCTCCTATTTCTCCTATCACTAAATCTTCTTGGAACAGGATCGTCTGAAGATAGAAGCAGCTTAATTTTCTCAGAATCTGGTGCTTTTATAGCCTAAATGAGCTGGTCTTTTTTTTCATTTTGCAGGCGCTGAGCATGTTCAGTGCTGCCTTGGCTTCTGGGCAACTGGGACCCCTGATGAGCCAATTTGGCTTACCAGCTGAGGCCATAGACGCCGCAAATAAAGGGGGTAAGTTCATTTGCTTAGCTAAGTAGGAGCCGCTGAATGACTAATGGAAATCTTTCTAAGGATGAAGTAATACGTTGTGAGATTTGAATTCTGCTCTTATTTTTTTCTGGAAGGCATTTTGGGTCACTCTAATGCAGTGTTTCTCAGCCATGCTAACTTTACAATGTGTGGACTTCAACTTCCAGAATTCCCCAGCTAGCATGCTGGTGGATGGAACTCTGGGCGTTGAAATCCACACATCTTCAAGTTGATACAATTAAGAAACACTGCTATAATGATTTGGTTTAAAAAAAAAAAAAGTGCGCTCATGGTAAGTTCTACAAATAGCATCCCTTGAATGTCAATTGTTTATCCCAGAGGATATCCACAGAGAGACTTCAAGTGGATGATTCTACATAAAGCAGTGCCCAAAGGAGCAAAAAATCAGCTTTGGGGCAGAGTTGGGCATAGATGAAAGCTACTCTCCAAAAATAATGTCTGCCGTGGGGGGTTCACGGCTGTTTGCGCATGTGCAAACAGGGCCGTCAGTGCTGCGCCACTGTGTGGCCTTATTTGCGTGTGTGCGCACCAATTTTGAAACTGCTCTCCTTCCCTCCAGGCCGCGAGCCCGGAAAGGTTGGAGACCTCTGATCTAACCATTGAAGCGCACCATCATTATTTTAAAAATCAGATACCGAACATACCGAACCAGTATATACCTTCAGATTACAGCAGGTCACGATGTGATCTTCAGTTTGATGTGGGATCCCGCAGTCACACTGAGATGCTGTGCCCCATTTATACAGAGACAGTCCTGGCAGACGCGTTGTGAGATGTGAATCCTCTTCAGGATTGTCCATTGCTGATGTGGTAGTTCAAAGCCCAACATCTTTTTTTTGTGTGTGGGGTCATTTATATGTCTTCCTATGTCTGGGCATTCTTAACTGTGCTACAGATGGGTATAGAGAATTAGTTGAATCCTTACTATTGAATTGTTAAGGAGGGTTTCAACCAAGAATATTACCAGAGGGCTACTCCATCTTGAAAACCCCAGTGTTGGATCATCCTGACACTACAAATGTTTAGATGTTCTCCCCCCCACCCCACTCCGAAGGTTTGAAATAGACTGACGAGACTCACATTGGTAGGTAATTTGCCTGGCTATTGTATGTTGTTTTCCCTCATCTTCTGTTTAATATTAAAGTTTTAATTGCATGCTGTCAAGAATGTGTGCTGAGTGGAGGAGAAACTTATAGATCTAAATTAAAAATAAAATCTCTACTACTAAAATATAGTGACATGGAGAGCGTGGTATCCAACTCTTGGAAATGGGGTTTAGAAGAGAAATAAAATTTAGGCCAGCATTATTTATGCAAAGGATTTATGATTTGGACTAGCATTTAAAAACAGAGCTTGCAAATTGCAGCTGGCCTGCTGCAGCTTCCATGCTGTTGCAAGTTGTGTGTTGCAACTATACACTTCAAATGTGCACAAGGCAGCCTGCTGTCTTCCATACTTCTCTCTCGCTGAATTATCCGTGTAATGTGCCTTGTTTCTGCAGATGTGGAGGCGTTTGCAAAAGCCATGCAGAACAACGTCAAATCTGACCAAAAAGAAGGAGAAGCAAAGGAGAAGAAGGACGAAGAGGAAGACATGAGTTTAGATTAGGTTTCTTAATAGTGTCTGAAGGATACTCCTAGATATTAAGTAGAATCCCTAGCTAACTCCGTGTATCAAATCTACAAGTAAAGGATCTCGCTCCCAAAATTCTTTCTGGAAATAAAACTTTTTTCCCCATTTTTTCCCAGACCAGGCAGCTGTTTAGCCTTAAGACACACTTGTCCCTAGGAAGGATTTGATTGGACTAAACGGAATCTTGCATCCAGTAAAACTGTAGCGTTTTAAGTTTGAAGGGTTAGCCTACACCTGTTAGTTTATATACATATATATATATATATATTTATATTTAGCTAATTGTATCTGGGCGTGTCTATATCTGGTGGAATATTTTTGACTTCATGCCTTCATTAAAGATTTGAGGGGCTCCTGAAAGTCTGATCTCCTCCCCTCCCTCCGTGTTGGATAATGTGGGGCTGGGGAAATTGTTTGAGCAGAATTCTGTATTTTCACAGGAACCACAAGTCCCAAGTATTTTTAACTGGCTTAATCTCCATTTGCAAAGAGGCTTGGCTCCATTTGCCAAGGGTGGGCTGGGCATGACACAAGGCGATAAAAGAAGGGTTATTATGGCTTTGAAGTTGACAAATAACTGGCAAAATTATTGTTTTTTTTCGGGAGAGGTTATAGAATTGAACCCTTGCAAGAAATTTAATTGGTTGTAAGCATGTAATTCACATTGTATAAAGAGGGAAGACTACTATCCCCTTTCGTGGTCTCCTATGAATGCGTTCACTCAAATATATTCTCCTGCTGCATTGAAGCCACATTGTACAAATTTTACAAGAAAAGAACAATTTTATTGGAAGTATGTAGCAATGATGTACAGGAATATTGCTTTAATTATTCAGCCCCCCCCCCCAATAAATTGCTGAAAGGAAGTCAGGGTGAGTTAAAATCCACTTTTCAATATGTACCCCAGCATTAAAATAACCAATATATTGATGAGTAATAAAATTATTTTTAGAACTGTCTTACCCAATGTGATGGGATATACACACACACATATATATACACACATAAACATACAAGAATGTGTCTAAGTGCACAAGTGAACCTAGATTGATATTAAGTGAAGTTAGCTGATTGAAAGGGAAGTTGTGATACTGAAACAGAAGAACACAACACAATGGATTAAGAGTGAAGGGTTGTTTTTCTTTTCTGAAAGGAGCTGAGGACATCACCTTAATAAAGTGAAACTGGATTTTCCTTTAATGTCACTGAAAGGCAGGTGCAGCAATAGCATCCAATAGGAAGGGAAGCATCCCTGTTTTTGCCTGGAGTCACAAAATCCACTTAAGTCCTAGATCTAGACTCTCTTGCTATTAAGCAAACCACAGCATGGCTGATCATCACGGACTGGCTAGATTCTCACAACACAACCAGATCCATGTTAATTATATCACACTTGCTGTGCAAACCTAATTATTAAGCAATGTCTAATACATTCCTTGATCAATTTAGGAAAGTTGGCCAAGACAAAAAACACAGCTTTTTCGAATGTAATTTGTATCTGCGGAGGGAAAGGGAACGCACGTGCCTTTGTAGTAGTGTCTTGTGTTCTTTTCCCCTTGCAGCCATTTTTGTCACCACCCCATATAAAAATGTAGACAACAGTCTCTGGGAAATGATTAGAACAACTGCAGATATCAACAGAAGAGAATGTGTGCAGCTCAGGGTTGAACTGTGGAGTCCTTGGTGCTCTCCAAACTTGGTTTGCTTGCAGAAATTGTGTTACTTAACAAAACGTCTCCAAGCAAACCATCAAGCTTAAGAGAGCACCCAGGGCTCCACAAGATACAGATAGGCTTAAATATCTTGGCTCTTGTGTATTTTGATGAAATTGTTGCTTAAGGCATCACTGTGACTTGTCTCACTTGTGCAAAAAAGCACCTTAGCCTTCTAACCGCCTGTTATAAATATTTTTTATAAAGAACACGTGCACCGTTTGAAATACCCTACTGCCAATATACTGGAAGAAATGTGCAAATATATTACAAATTAGCTAATGAGCACAGCTGAGAACCCCACTCTAGCCCTCCCTCTGCCATATATACACACTGTTTTTATTCAACCCTGTGTTTTCATCAGAAAGCAGATGCATCACGAAGACATTGGGGAGGGCGATGAGCTCATCTGTGGCTCTGAGTTTACACACACATGCCAGGAAGCTTCAGTTACCCAGTTGGGCATCCTCCCAGCCCTACAGAGCCCCTGGTTGACCCAGCTTGCCTGATGTCAATTTGGTTTTGATTGATCACCAGATTCTTCATGCAACCCACAAACGAGGGAGGATGACGCCTGTGGGATTGTGAAGGGAGTTCTGCAAAAGGAGAGGAGAAAAAAAAAGTATTTTTATGCACAGAAACCAGCAGGACTTGATACAGAGAAAATCTTGCTACGGGTCACTTTGGCATCAAGTAATGTTAAGCTAGTTGAGCCTTATCCGTGCTGCTCGTTACATTCAGGATTACTTTTCTGAACCAGGTCCAAAGTCTCCCAAGTTAATGTGGCTTTTCCAGGAAAAGCCAGCTCTGACTCATTCCCCTCTGCCATCCTTTGACCTTGCCCATAAGGAACCATTTGCTTGCTTGCTTGCTCCTATTTAACAGAATAACAGAATAGGAAGGGACCTTGCAGGTCTTCTAATCACGTTTGAAGTTATTGTTTGCCTGTGCACAAAATGGGAAATATTTTTGTCTCCACTTAAAAATGCAAGGCGATCAAACCGGTCAGTCCTAGAGGAGATCAACCCTGACTGCTCCTTAGAAGGCCAGATCCTGAAGTTGAAACTCAAGTACTTTGGCCACCTAATGAGAAGGAAGGACTCACTGGAGAAGAGCCTCATGCTGGGAAAGATGGAGGGCAATAGAAGAAGAGGATGAAGACAGAGAATGAGGTGGCTGGATGGAGTCACTGAAGCAGCAGGCGTGAGCTTCAATGGACTCCAGAAGATGGTAGAGGACAGGAAGGCCTGGAGGAACGTTGTCCATGGGGTCGCGATGGGTCAGACACGACTTCGCAATTAACAACAAAAATGTTTGAAGTTAAAAGCGCAACAGCCCACTTGAACTGCATTGCTGACTACTTTCCACTGGAACTTAAAACCTGCCAACAGTTTTGGCCACTAGAAACAGTGCAAGCAGCCCTCAAGACCTTTTCAAAAACAATTATTGTCCCTTTGGCTGTTTTTTTCCCCACAAACTGGATGGTCAACCAACATTGCCGTCGTTCTGCTCCACTTAAAATATTTTTTTGGCCAAAGAGGAAGTTTCAAATTAACTACATTTTCTTCTGAGGTCAGGCCCAAATGGCACATTTCCAATTTTGTGTTTCGATTTGAAAGTTTTTGACACATCCATACGGTACTGAATTGCAAAGACAGTTTTTACTGCAATCAGGTGAAGAGGGGTAGGTCTTTTGCTCAGGATGGCTGCTTGGTTGAACTGAAAGAGGATTGTTGAGTGGATAATTGTAATTTATCTGATTTTACAGCACTCGGTTCCTATTTAGAACAGAACGGATCATTGTCAGAGTTGGGAGGGACCTTAGAGGTCTAGTCCAGCCCTCTGATCAAGCAGGAGACCTTGTGCCATTCCAGACAAATGGCTGCCCAGTAGTCTCTTCTTGAAAACATCCAGTGTTGGAGCACCCACAACTTCTGGTGGCAAGCCGTTCCACTGGTTGATTGTTCTCCTTAGTTCTAAGTATTGCTTCTCTCCTTGATTAGCTTCCGTCCGTTGCTTCTTGTCCTGCCTTCAGGTGCTTTGGAAAATAAGTTGACCCCCTCCTTTTTGTGGCAGTCCCTCAGATATTGGAACATTGTTATCATGTCACCCCTAGTCCATTTTACTACACTAGACACAACCAATTCCTGCAACTGTTCCTCATATGTTTTTGCCTCCAACCCCCATGTTTGTTGTCTGTAGGTCTAGAACAGTGGTTCTCAACCTGTGGGTCGGGACCCCATTTGGGGTCGATCGACCATTTCACAGGGGTCGCCAAGCAAGGCTGTCCGCCATTTTTTTTGTCCATTTTTTTCCCCTTTTCTGGCGGGTGCCTTACCTCCCTTGGGCTGGGCCAGCTGGTGGTCGGCCTGCTCCGTCTCTGCCGCTTGCCAGCTACGCCTCGGCCGGCGCAGGGGGCGGAGCCATGCATGCATGGCGCTCCCGGGCAGGGAAAGTCCTCGACTTACGACCGGTTGGGTAGTCCTCGACTTATGGCCGGTTTAGTCCTCGACTTAACGACTGGTTTAGTCCTCGACGTACGACCGGTTTAGTCCTCGACTTACGACCGGTTGGGGTCGCGGCATTAAAAAGGTTGAGAACCACTGGTCTAGAACGGGTAGGCAACCTTGGTTCTTTTATGACTCGTGGACTTGAACTCCCAGAATTCCTGAGCCAGCTATGCTATGCTGGCTCAGGAATTCTGGGAGTTGAAGACCACGAATCATAAAAGAGCCAAGGTTGCCTACCCCTGGTCTAGAAGGTCTAAAAACTATGATAATCTACATATGTCCATTTAATGGGCTTCTGAATGCTCCAATTCCTTATATGCACTCACCTGGCATTCCACCGAGATAAATGCTTTCTTTGTCAGAAGTACCATGGACTTCGTTTGGACCCACTGTGTAATTTCCTTTGGTGTCCACATTCAGTTGGATCATGTTGCTTCCTTTGATGACTAGGAAAGAAAACAAATTAGCATGCACGTATTTCATAATTGATGCAGCACCGCTTGCTCCCTTCTGCCAGAGGAATATGGAAGAAGATAAAATCAGTTTAGTGCTAATTGATACAGCTCTTTCCAACCCACTGCCCAATAACTCTTGGATTGCAGCCCTCCCTAATTACCAGCAAGAGATCTCTCTTAGCAAATCATACTGGGCTGGTCCAGCAACAAAGAAATAGTCTTTATTTAAAGATAGGGACAGATGGGCATGCAAGATTTGCAAATGTTATAATGTTTTAGTTAGAAGCTGACATCTCTACGGGATCTGAATTGACTCCAAAGTCCCTAAAGAAGCCTGGCGGTTTAATTTTAGTCTCCATCAACAACCATTTGATGAGGAGAAATGTTTCATGAGACCCAGACTGCAGCACTGATTTACTGGCTGCATTCACATTAAATCTAATTAATCTATTTTGTCCTTTTACAATACACTGAGACAATAGGTTGACTCAGTATATCAACTAGATCTTTAACTGAGCTGATCAACTGCGTTCTACGAAGACACCATTTTGTGATTAGGCTCCACAGCGTATTGTCACGTACCGTGATGGTCAATAAATATGAACATAAGATGAAGGGGAAGGAGAATGTTATGGAACAGGGGTCCCCATCTCCCAGTCCGTGAATTGGTACCGGTCCACAGCATGCCAGCAACTGGGCCGCGCAAACAAGCCAAGTCCCATCTGTGGTATGCAGGCAAAACTACACCCCCTCCAGTCCATGGAAAAACCTTTCTCCATGGAACCAGTCCCTGGTGCCCAAAAGCTGGAGGGCCACTGTTACAGAAGATGCAGTTGATTCCCTCCAAAAGAGACAGGAGGAAAAAAAAGGATGATATCCCTTGGGTTGGAAAGTGGCTCACCTGTGATTGTATGCCATTGGCCATCACAGAGGGAAGGCTGGGACACGGAAGTGGAGAACTCGCCTGTTCCTGTATTTGCGGCCACCGTAACCTAATACAGAGAAATGATTTGGAGAACTTCATTTAGATGGCACTAGGAAGACGCCCCTGAAAGACCTGGCTTATTCTATCAGAGGGTTCTTCAATGGGAAGAACAATGCTAGCGAGGAAGTTCTCAGACAGAAAAAGCCAGATCATTACAGATATACACCCTACTATATTTTTCAATTTCCACTTGATGAAATTTATAATTGAGAATCAGCCTGGTCTAGTGNGCAGGACTGGCCTAGGGTAATTTTTAGAGGGGTTTTAATTATATTTTAAATCGGACAATATTTATATATCTCTTTTTAATTAATTTTAAATTTGTATTGTAATTTATGTATTTTAAATTGATTGTCAGCCGCCCTGAGTCCTACGAGGAGAAGGGCGGGATATAAATCCAAATAATAAATAAATAAATAAATAAATAAATAAACCAGGTCCAAATTCTCCCAAGTTAATGTGGCTTGTCCAGGAAAAGCCAGCTCTGCCTCATTCCCCTCTGCCATCCTTTGACCTTGCCCATAAGAAACCATTTGCTTGCTTGCTTCTTTTTAACAGAATAACAGAATAGGAAGGGACCTTGCAGGTCTTCTAATCACGTTTGAAGTTATTGTTTGCCTGTGCACAAAATGGGAAATATTTTTGTCTCCACTTAAAAATGCAAGGCGATCCAACCGGTCAGTCCTAGAAGAGATCAACCCCGACTGCTCCTTAGAAGGCCAGATCCTGAAGTTGAAACTCAAGGACTTTGGCCACCTAATGAGAAGGAAGGACTCACTGGAGAAGAGCCTAATGCTGGGAAAGATTGAGGGCAATAGAAGAAGGGGACGACAGAGAATGAGGTGGCTGGATGGAGTCACTGAAGCAGTAGGCGTGAGCTTCAATGGACTCCAGAAGATGGCAGAGGACAGGAAGGCCTGGAGGAACGTTGTCCATGGGGTCACGATGGGTCGGACACGACTTCGCAATTAACAACAACAACAATGTTTGAAGTTAAAAGCGCAACAGCCCACTTGAACTGCATTGCTGACTACTTTCCACTGGAACTTAAAACCTGCCAACAGTTTTGGCCACTAGAAACAGTGCAAGCAGCCCTCAAGACCTTTTCAAAAATAATTGTCGTCCCTTTGGCTATTTTTTTCCCCACAAACTGGATGGTCAACCAACATTGCCGTCGTTCTGCTCCACTTAAAATAATTTTTTGGCCAAAGAGGAAGTTTCAAATTAACTACATTTTCTTCTGAGGTCAGGCCCAAATGGCACATTTCCAATTTTGTGTTTCGATTTGAAAGTTTTTGACACATCCATACGGTACTGAATTGCAAAGACAGTTTTTACTGCAATTAGGCGAATAGGGGTAGGTCTTTTGCTCAGGATGGCTGCTTGGTTGAACTGAAAGAGGATTGTTGAGTGGATAATTGTAATTTATCTGATTTTACAGCACTCAGTTCCTATTTAGAACAGAACGGATCATTGTCAGAGTTGGGAGGGACCTTAGAGGTCTAATCCAGCCCTCTGATCAAGGAGACCTTGTGCCATTCCAGACAAATGGCTGCCCAGTCTCTTCTTGAAAACCTCCAGTGTTGGAGCACCCACAACTTCTGGTGGCAAGCCGTTCCACTGGTTGATTCTTCCGTTCAGAAATTTCTCCTTAGTTCTAGGTGTTGCTTCTCTCCTTGCTTATTTTCCATCCGTTGCTTCTTGCCCTGCCTTCTGGTGCTTTGGAAAATAAGTTGACCCCCTCCTCTTTGTGGCAGTCCCTCAGATATTGGAACATTGTTATCATGTTACCCCTAGTCCTTTTTACTACACTAGACACACCCAATTCCTGCAACGGTTCCTCATATGTTTTTGCCTCCAACCCCCATGTTTGTTGTCTGTAGGTCTAGAACAGGGGTAGGCAACCTTGGCTCTTTTATGACTCATGGACTTCAATTCCCAGAATTCCTGAGCCAGCATTCTGGGAGTTGAAGTCCACGAGTCATAAAAGAGCCAAGGTTGCCTACCCCTGGTCTAGAAGGTCCATTTAATGGGCTTCTGAATGCTCCAATTCCTTATATGCACTCACCTGGCATTCCACCGAGATAAATGCTTTCTTTGTCAGAAGTACCATGGACTTCGTTTGGACCCACTGTGTAATTTCCTTTGGTGTCCACATTCAGTTGGATCATGTTGCTTCCTTTGATGACTAGGAAAGAAAACAAATTAGCATGCACGTATTTCATAATTGATGCAGCACCGCTTGCTCCCTTCTGCCAGAGGAATATGGAAGAAGATAAAATCAGTTTAATGCTAATTGATACAGCTCTTTCCAACCCACTGCCCAATAACTCTTGGGTTGCAGCCCTCCCTAATTACCAAGAAGAGAGATCTCTTAGCAAATCATACTGGGCTGGTCCAGCAACAAAGAAATAGTCTTTATTTAAAGATAGGGACAGATGGGCATGCAAGATTTGCAAATGTTATAATGTTTTAGTTAGAAGCTGACATCTCTACGGGATCTGAATTGACTCCAAAGTCCCTAAAGAAGCCTGGCGGTTTAATTTTAGTCTCCATCAACAACCATTTGATGAGGAGAAATGTTTCATGAGACCCAGACTGCAGCACTGATTTACTGGCTGCATTCACATTAAATCTAATTAATCTATTTTGTCCTTTTACAATACACTGAGACAATAGGTTGACTCAATATATCAACTAGATCTTTAACTGAACTGATCAACTGCGTTCTACGAAGACACCATTTTGTGATTAGGCTCCACAGCGTATTGTCACGTACCGTGATGGTCAATAAATATGAACATAAGATAAGGGGGAAGGAGAATGTTATGGAACAGGGGTCCCCATTTCCCAGTCCGTGAATCGGCATCGGTCCGCAGCATGCCAGCAACTGGGCCGCGCAAACAAGCCAAGTCCCATCTGTGGGATGCAGGCAAAACCATGCCTCCTCCAGTCCATGGAAAAAGCTTTCTCCATGGAACCAGTCCCTGGTGCCCAAAAGTTGGAGGGCCACTGTTACAGAAGATGCAGTTGATTCCCTCCAAAAGAGGCAGGAGGAAAAAAAAGGATGATATCCCTTGGGTTGGAAAGTGGCTCACCTGTGATTGTATGCCATTGGCCATCACAGAGGGAAGGCTGGGACACGGAAGTGGAGAACTCTCCTGTTCCTGTATTTGCGGCCACCGTAACCTAATACAGAGAAATGATTTGGAGACGTTTATTTAGATGGCACTAGGAAGACGCCCCTGAAAGACCTGGCTTATTCTATCAGAGGGTTCTTCAATGGGAAGAACAATGCTAGCGAGGAAGTTCTCAGACAGAAAAAGCCAGATCATTACAGATATACACCCTACTATATTTTTCAATTTCCACTTGATGAAATTTATAATTGAGAATCAGCCTGGTCTAGTGNCCTGGTCTAGTGGTTAAGGCACCAGGTCAGAAAGCAAGAACCCATGAGTTCAAGTCCAACCTTAGCCACGAAAGCCAGCTGGATGGCCTTGGGCCAGTCATTTTATCTCAACCCAATTTACTTCACAGTGTTGTTGTTATAGGGAAAACAGGAAGAGTTGGATATGTTCACCACCTTATTTGGAAAAATAATAATGGTGGGATATAAACAAACAAGTGTAAAACTCAGCCTTTCACCTGATCCACAATCTCTCCTCATGGCTATTAGTACAATGTGGCCTTTTCATTTTTTAAAAATTTTTATTACTGATATTTCTCTATGACTCTGCTTTGGAGAGTGGATCATAAAAGAAAGCTTAGTGTCTTCCCCAAAGCATCTTCCACAATAAATTTTTCATCTCTTTTCAGAAACCGAGTAAAGAGAAAATGATTCTGAAATGTGAAGGCAAGCTGTTCCACAGAAGGGCCAATTGTTGTTGTTAGTTGTGAAGTCGTGTCCGACCCATCGCGACCCCATAGACAACGTTCCTCCAGGCCTTCCTGTCCTCTACCATCTTCTGAAGTCCATTTAAGCTCACGCCTACTCCTTCAGTGACTCCATCCAGCCACCTCATTCTCTGTTGTCCCATTCTTCTGTTGCCCTCAATCTTTCCCAGCATCAGGCTCTTCTCCAGTGAGTCCTTCCTTCTCATTAGGTGGCCAAAGTACTTGAGTTTCAACTTCAGGATCTGGCCTTCTAAAGAGCAGTCAGGGTTGATCTCCTCTAGGACTGACCGGTTTGATCGCTTTGCAGTCCAGGGGATTCGCAGGAGTCTTCTCCAGCACCAGAGTTCAAAGGCCTCAATTCTTTGGCGCTCAGCCTTTCTTATGGTCCAACTTTCACAGCCATACATTGCAACTGGGAAAACCATGGCCTTGACTATACGTACTTTTGTTGGCAGGGTGATGTCTCTGCTTTTTAGTATGCTGTCTCGATTTGCCATAGCTTCCCTTCCCAGGAGCAAGCGTCTTTTAATTTCTTGGCTGCAGTCCCCATCTGTGGTGATCTTGGAGCCCAGGAAGATAAAATCTGTCACTACCTCCATTTCTTCCCCATCTATTTGCCAGGAATTGCCATGATCTTGGTTTTCTTGATGTTGAGTTTCAAGCCAACTTTTGCACTCTCCTTCTTCACCCGCATCAAGAGGCTCTTTAGTTCCTCTTCACTTTCTGCCATTAGAGTGGTATCATCTGCATATCTTAGGTTGTTGATATTTCTCCCGGCAATCTTAATTCCTTCAGAAAGGGCTCCCTCAACAGGTCTTCTCCTCCAGGTCTTACAGGAAGAGTAGATTCCCTTTGAAACAAGTAGTTCTAAAGAACTTCCATAGCCATATTGCCTAGTCTGAATGCCTGGCATGATAGGCTAGGAATTCTGCGAGTTGAACTCCACAGATCTTAAAGTTGCCAACATTTTGAAACATGCTCTTCCTTGACAATGGAGGGTGCATTTTTCTACTGTCCATGCCCAGGAACATACATGACAATTGTTCTGGTTTCCCTCCAAGGATGTTCAAGGTATTTTTTTTTTATTAGTTTTATTCATTTATAACATAAAATGTGAAAATACAAAAGCAAACAGTAGGGGACAACAGTAGAAAAAGGGAAAACGAAAAAGGTGTGAAGAAAAGGAGGGGAAGAAACAAAAGACATTGACTTCTGACTCTCTCTGTTGCAGTAAGATCAGACATTAAAATCAAATCTCAGCTTTTTTACATTTCTATAGTAGTATGCACTAGCCATTTATGTATCGGCAAATCAGTCTAATTGGTAAAAACCAAAATCGTGGTATCATTTTTTCCCACCTCAAGCACAAAGTCCAGAAACGGTTTCCAAGTAGAAACAAAAGTACTTATGTTCTTTTCTTTTATTGGCACAGTCAATTTGGCCATCTCTGCTAATTCCATCAGCTTTTGTAACCATTCATCCATGTTAGGAAAAATCAACATTTACTTTAACTTTATCATACCATAAAGACCCATGCCATCCTAAGGATGTTCAAGGTATTTGTCTCTACGCCTTTTAAAAATTCTAAGAGCTCATTACCCAATCAATCAAAGGTGAATGACTCAAATCATTTTACCTTTTGGCTGTCAGTGGATAGCCTGAGATAGTCTGTCTGCCTTCCTACATGAAATATCAGGCTAGATGAACTCCGCGGCCGGATCTCCAGCGTCATCTCAAAGTCTTGACTGAGAGCGACCGACCTATCTGGAGGGAGAAGAGTAAATCTTTTACAGAAAGTTTAGTGGAGGGAACAGAAAGTTAAAAACTAAGCCATCCTGAAAGGAAGTGCAAAAAATGACCAAGTATAAAAGGACAGACAACACTTAAAAGTACCTAGTGTGATGTATCCTCCTTCAAGAGAGAAAAAGATGCCGGTTTCCAAAGGGCCCACATAACAAGGGGTCACAGCGAACACACGGGAGGGTGAATTTAGAGGCTTTTTGTCAAGTTTTAGGTGCCTGAGGCAACCCTTAAAGCTAGAAGCAGAAGCATCCTGAAGAAGAAAAAAAGATGGTCTTTTGAATCAGATAACGGCATCTGGACATTTCCACTGCCTACAGTTCCCCCAAACTTGCAATTTCATGCTTTTTTATGTATTGGCTTATTTAAACAACATATGGCTGCCTATCTCCCATAGAGAACCTGTGGGGGGGGCCTCATGATTGCTAATAAAAACAATATAAAAACAAAACAAATCTTTTCCACCAGGCACCAGACCACCCAACTGTTGACTCTGATCCAAAGGTGCTTTTTCAAAAGACAAGTGGACTTTTGTTTTTCCTTGAAGACGTTTCGCTTCTCATCCAAGAAGCTTCTTCAGTTCTGACTGAAGATTTTGGGATGACAAGTGAAGAAACGTCTTCAAGGAAAAACAAAAATCCAGCCGCCTTTTTGAAAAAGCACCTTTGGGACAACCATGACACGGATGACTGAGAGTCTCCACAGACATGTTGACTCTGATTCGGTCCCATCCTAGTCCAATGATTGAGGAACAGCCGGTCTCTGCGGCTTTCCAGAATACTAAAAAGGACAGGGACTCCTCAAATCACAGAGTCACTTGTTCATGAGATTGGCGGCTTTCAAATTCGACAAATAGATACACTCCAAAGTGCCAAGGTAACTAAAGTGAAGACGCCCCTTCAAAGTCCCACCAGATGACAATGTCTGGGGCATGGGACCTGGAGCGCCTCCACCCTCTGGGATGACCCAGGGCCCCGAACGGAGGCAAAGCAATTAGCTGGTTAGAATAATTGTCTTTGTAAGCACTGCCAATGTTCACCCAACAGCCCCCACATATGCTGGCACCAGTTCAATAAAACAGTCAACGGAGTTAAACAGTTCTTTAAAGTAAAACAGATAACAAACAGTATGATCTTTTCAACGCCCAGCTTGCCTGTAACTTGCAAAGTGCAAAACTGAGGACAGCAAGGAGAACTCAGCAGGAAACAAACTTGATCCAAAATACAAAGAGTCCAGGTACAAGAGGTCACATCACAAGAGGACATGTTTGTTCCCGGCAAATGCCCCACCCCACAGCGTCTCCTTAAATACCTACTCCCCAGGTGTGCCTTGTGGAGTGGGGCGTGACGCTCTCCGCCTCCGTTGTTCCCTCCTCCTCTCTGCTCTCCTTGCTCTGGGATCTGGCGGGGAGGGGCCTTGCTCCTCGCCTGAGCTCTGCCTTCCCTGTTCCAAACTTGAAGGGCCCTGGCCTGCTTCAGCCTGTTCCTCCCCACAGTCCTCCAAAGCCACAGACACCCCCTCCTGGGCCTCAACAGGGAACTCCATGTCGTCCTCAGAGTCAGGCTCAGACGGAGGCATGACACCCTCCCTGATCTAGTATGATGCAGAGACAGTGCCCCTCCCCCCAAATAACCTGGCCCTGGCCTTTAAAAAAACAAACAAACCCTGCATTTTAAATTGTACCCAGAAAATAAGTATTACATGAGGTACATGTAACAAAATTGTAACAAGGGAAAATTACAAAGAACCCAGAAGCGTGCAAGCGGCTGCATTTTGCAGCTTCTGAAGAGTCTTCAAGGGCAACTCCATGGAGAGTGCACTGCAGGAGTCCTACAGGGAAGTGACAAGGCACGACTGACTGACTAGGCTTCTTCCCGTTCCGGGAACGGGCGCAGTTCATAAAATGTTCTCCCTCTTCATGTCAGGGGTGGTTCTAGGTATGTGAAAAAGCAGGTTCCAAGGTAGATCATTAGGTTCCTTACTGGTATATGAGCTTTAGCTTTGGCCAGTGGTGCTCCCCCCACGTAAAGGGGGCCAGAGATCCCGAAGTCAACAGGGGTCGGCAGCAACTTCTCCAGGGATCTCAGTCCATCAATGACCAGCTGAACTCTGTTCCTGTCTCTGCTGAAGAAGACCTGAAAATGATAAGAAAGGCATGCGATGCTTCAGTTCCGTCGCTCTTCCATGGTCACTAGTAAAGCAATCCTTGTTCAATCCTGGAACCCGCAGATATTTTCGACTGCAGATCAGCAAGGTGGAAGTAAGGAGAGATATTTGCTTTCCTTGATCTTATTCCTGATTTCACAAACAAGGACCCTCCCACGTCAAGCTACAAATAGTTCTCAACTGACAACCACAATTGGGTCCAAATCTCCATACATAAGTTGTTATGGTCATAAGTTGAGGAACCCATATGACTGGATCTGATTTTATGATATCGCTGCATCTAGCGGTGTGCGGGCGAGCATTATCGTGAACCACACCACACCGGAGGTGGTGCCATAGAAAATCCCACCAAATGTGAAGATGCCGAAGGAGTAATGCCAGTGAAGTTCATGAAGTGTGGTCCGACCATCAATTCAGAAGTCTACTGTGAAACATTACGAAAACTCAGACAAGCCATCCATAACAAGCGTTGGGGCGTGCTGACTTCCAATGTGGTATTGGTGCACGATAATGCTCGCCCGCACACCGCTAGATGCACTCAAGAACTTTTGAAGCAGTTCCGTTGAGATGTTTTTGATCACCCCCCTTATAGCCCAGATTTGGTGCTGAGCAACGACTACTAAGGAATTTCAAACTTTGTAAGACGTTAGGACAAGTGCTTCAATTTCAATGGCAATTATGTCGAAAAGTAATGTAATGTTGAAGTTTTCTAATGTGTATAATAAAAGTTCTGTATCTGCAAGTGTCTATCACTGATAACCAAACGGAGGTTTATTTTCAAATTGCCCTTGTATTTAGCCAAGGAGTTGATGCCACATCCTATCTGACGCTTGTTCACCAATAGAAACACACTCTTGGCTCAGTCTTAATCTAGAGGAAAACTAAGCCATCTGACGTAGAAAAGATATAGATAGATAGATAGATAGATAGATAGATAGATAGATAGATAGATAGATAGATAGATAGATAGATAGATAGATAGATAGATAGATAGACACAGACAGACAGACAGATATAGATGATAGATATAGATGATAGATAGATGATAGATAGACAGACAGATAGATAGATATAGATGATAGAGATAGATGATAGATAGATGATAGATAGACAGATAGATATAGATGATAGATAGATATAGAGATATAGAGATAGATAGATGGTAGGTAGGTAGGTAGGTAGGTAGGTAGGTAGGTAGGTAGGTAGGTAGGTAGGTAGATAGATAGATAGATAGATAGATAGATAGATAGATAGATAGATAGATAGATAGATAGATAGATAGATAGATGGACAGACCTTTATTGTGGTTTTGTACTGTGGGCATAACAGCACACATTAAAAATGAAATTTAGTTGCTTGCTCTCAAAGTGTACACATTCATAACACACATTTAAATCTACTATAAACAGCATATGTATAGACCTACACCCTTACATATAAGTAACATATAATCACTGTCCATCTTGAACATGTAACAGAAGAAGGAAGCTTTAGAGTTCACAAGGTTAATACTGTATGGTTAACAAAATGTGCCTGTTTTCCCTATCCTTACCGTGTGCCACCTTCCATCATGGTACTTTTCTTTGCTCCGGAGTCTCAGTTTATGTCCATTTGTATCAGCCAAAAGCACCACGCGTCCGTTGGAGACAAAAAGGGCGAAGAAGGAGCCCAGAGATTCATTAGCCATGTAGAAAAGCAGACCGCTGGAGGAGTTCAATCTAAACTCCATGGAGAAATGAAACCTGTTGGAAGAAGAATCGATTTGTCATTCAAGCTTTCTTAAGTCTGGACTGGAGTTCAGAAGGTCAGCAAATAGAGTACAGCTCATCCTTGATTTGCTACCATTCATTTAATGACTATTCAAAGTTATAATGGGACTGGAAAAAAATGGCAGATGATTAGAGGACTGGAGGCTAGGACATATAAGGAACGATTGCTGGAATTGGGTATGTCTAGTTTAATGAAGAGAAGGACGAGGGGGGACATGATAGCAGTCTTCCAATATCTCAGGGGCTGCCCCAAAGAAGAGGGAGTCAAGCTATTTTCCAAGGCGCCTGAAGGCAGAACAAGAAGCAATGGATGGAAACTAACCAAGGAGAGAAGCAACCTAGAACTAAGGAGAAACTTCCTGACAGTTAGAACAATTAATCATGGAACAACCTGCCTCCAGAAGCTGTGAATGCTCCAACACTGGAGGTTTTTAAGAAGAGACTGGACAGCCATTTGTCTGAAATGGTATAAGGTTTCAGACAGGGGGTTGGACTAAATGACCTCCAAGGTCTCTTCCAACTTTATTATTATTATTATTATTATTATTATTATTATCATCATCATCATCATCATCATCATCATCATTATCATTATCATTATCATTATCATCATCATCATCATCATCATCATCATCATTTTTCACGTGATCGAAATTCAGGCACTTGGCAGCTGGTCTGCATTGATGACTTTTGCACTGTCTCCAACTCATGTGATCATCTTTTGCGACCTTCCTTGCTGGCTTCCCACAAACAAACTGCAGTGATTTGCATAACAACTGTGGCAAACACAGGTCGTAAAATGAGGCACACGTTATTAAACAACTGGTTTGCTTAGCAGCAAAACATTCGGGCTCAATTGTGGTTGTAAGTCGAGATTCTTCACTTCCCTATTTCCTGTTGTTGTTGTTGTTGTCTGAAGTGCAGTGTACTTACTTTCCAAGCAAGAAGAAAAATACATTTCACTTTTCAATATTTACCTTTCTCTGAACATTCTTGGTATTTCGTTGAACTCCAAGCGGCTGACAGGGGATCCGCCAAACTGGAAGGCATCTTTAACAGCTCTGGGATCTTTAAGCAGGTGGCAATCTGTGTCTTTCAGCATTACCTTGCTTGGTACCTGCAGAGACATCATTGGTAATTCACCATCCAGGATTTGGTTTATGATTGGTTTTCCCATTGGAACATGACTTGGATTTAAGTTTTTAAATTTTCGGTCCATAAATATTAAGCCCGTTAATCTCTCCACACCTTGGTAACATCCAAGAATAGTTCAGCAAGGGATGTTAAAGATCTTCTAATATCTAAATGCTAGGCCTGCTCTAGGTTTAAATAGGCTTGCTGTTAAAAAACAAAACAGAGATTTATTACTCTTGGGTAGAATAAATGCAGGTGGTCCTCGACTTCCGACAGTCCGTTTTAGTGGCTGTTCAAAGTTACAACGGCACTGAAAAATGTGACTTATGACTGTTTTTCACATGAACGTTGCAGGATCCCCCTGGTCACGTGATCCAAATTCAGGCGTTTGGGGGTCACGTGATCCCCTTTTGCGATCTTCTGACAAGCAAAGTCAATCGAGAAGCCAGATTCACTTAGCAACCATGTTACTAACTTCACAACTGCAGTGATTCACTTAACAACCGTGGTAAGAAAGGTCATAAAACGGGGCAAAATTAACCACTGTCTTGCTTAGCAACAGAAACTTTGGGCTCAACTGCAGTCGTAAGTAGAGGACTGCCTGTACGTTTTCGTAAAACTGAAATAATAAAGGGAGCTCAGTACATTATTTGTTATTTGGACAGCATTTAATGACCGGCACCAGCAGGCAAAAATGAAATTGCTGTGCTATACATTTCCTGGGGTCCTTCTGCACAGTATTTCAACATACATAAAGCACAAGCTAAATGCACAACTTGATCTGCCATAATATCTTTCATAATGGGTGTGGATTATTCTATTCCTGAATATAAAGCCTAATGCTCTTAGGACAATGAAAACTTGGATTTTAAAGATTTCCATCTCCGTGGGGTCCTTGATGCTCTCTGAGCGTAGCTGTTTCCCTGCAGACATTTCATTACCCAACAAGGTAGCTTCATCAGTGCTAGAAGGGGGTGGGGCTTGCCTCGCTTCCAGCACTGATGATGCTACCTAGTTGGGTAATGAAATGTCTATAGCAGGGGTCCCCAATCCCCGGTCCGTGGACCGGCACCGGGCCGCAGCATGCCAGCAGCCGGTCCGCACAAACAAGCAAAGCCCCATCTGCGGGATGCAGGCAGTACATGAAACCACGCCCCCCCTCCGGTCCACGGAAAAACCTCTCTCCACGGAACCGGTCCCCGGTGCCCAAAAGGTTGGGGACCTCTGGTCTATAGGGAAAAAGCCAAGCGCATAGAGTACAGAACAATCTCGAGCTACAAATATTCTATTGTATCTCTGTCACCTTTGGCTTCCACCTGCTCTTCTTTTCTGGTGCCCTCATCTGCTGGGGTTGCCGATCTCTGGGGCAGTTCATGGTCACATTGAAACTCTCCGTGCCCTGCTGCAGATCCACAACTGCCTGAGCTTCTGATCTCCTAGGGCAGAAAGGAAAAGAAGATCAACAGCTGTCCAGTGGGGAGCCACAGCAGATGGTGTGAACTGACAGAACCTCTTTTGACTGGTTAAAAAAAAAATATATATCCGCAGGCAAATCAAAACCTCAATGAGGCCAATAGTTAAAGCAGACATGTCAAACACAAGGCCCGGAGGCCCAGATGCGGCCCGTGAAGTGGTTTCATGTGGCCCACGAAGCCATCCTGGAAACAGCGAGGGAACGGCCCCCGCTGCCTTGGCCCTGGCCCAGGCCAGCCGGGAGCCAATGTACAATTTTGTGGTGGCCATCTATGCTGAAACGCATTCAGTCTTAGCTCCACAAGGCCGTCTGGAAACAGCGAGGAACCGGCCCCTGCCGCGTCGGCCCCGCCCCCTGGGTGCATGCTGGGGAGGTGTCACCCTTTGTGAGGAATGAAGAAATGGACCATGCCTTGGCGCTTGCCCCGGTCCCAACCCCTTCTGCCAGAGACCCTCAGATCTGTCCCACTCCTGCCCAGGCCCCCACAGGCGCCCTTGACGCGAACGATGTAGAGCTGGGCATGCCCACCCAGTAGGCCACACCCACTCCATCCACGCCCACCCAGTAGGCCGCACCCACCCTGGCACACCCACCTGCCCCCCCCCAAGGGCAACCGCAATGCTGATGCGGCCCTCAATGAAATTGAGTTTGACACCCCTGAGTTAAAGTGCGTGAAGACAGACAGGAAGCCGGAGACGATACAAAGAGAATAGGATGGAAGTGCTGGCTCACCTTTTGATGAAGACATTGCTAATGCAGCCTGTGAGGTTGCCAAGGTCGCTGCTGCTGGGCAAACCGCCCAGGTGAAAAACGCCCAACTCAGCTTCACGCTTTTGCCTCCTCTCACGATTCAGCCCGGCCGTGGATCCCTGAAGCTGATCATCTACATACATCCGGACCCTACAGCAAAAATAGTTCTATGTGTCAAGGTGGGGAGATCAACTGGGGGAGCGGGCAACACAAACATGCAATGCAAAGGAGTGGTACCCTGCAGAGTCGCTGTAGATAGCCACGTAGTGGCTGGTATCATCCGCGTAGGCATTCCTGGTGGTAAGCTCCGTGGACAGGACACTGACAGCCACGTGGCCCTCTTGCAAGGAAACCTGGCAGCTCCCTTCCTGGAGAGAGAGAGAAAGGGGGGGGGAAAGGATAACATATTGCAGCTGGAGAACCTTGACTCTCTGAAAGCTCTTCATCAGGAGTTAAAATGTGCAATTCTTCAAAGGTGCCTAAAGGGTGGCTCAGAGCGGTCAGGATGTCAGTCTGATCACTCTGCCCACCTCCCTCATGGACACCCACGAAGGTAGGGCAAAAGAAGTCACCATCTTTCCAGTTTAGAGTATCTCACTTAGATGATAGGATGGATGGGATAGAAGATAGATGATAGACAGATAGAGAGAGAGAGAGACAGAGAGACATATAGGTAGGTAGGTAGGTAGGTAGGTAGGGAGAGAGAGAGAGAGAGAGAGAGAGAGAACAGACAGAGACAGACAGACAGACAGATATAGCTATAGATGATAAAGATTGATAACTAGCTAGACAGAGACAGACAAAAATATATAGCTATAGATAGATGATAAAGATAGCTAGAGATTAGAGATAGATAGATAGATGAGATAGATGAGATAGATAGATAGATAGATAGATAGATAGATAGATAGATAGATAGATAGATAGATAGATAGATAGATAGATAGATAGATAGATAGATAGATAGATAGATAGGACACACAGAGACAGATATAGCTATAGGTGATAAAGATTGATAACTAGCTAGACAGAGACAGACAAAAAGATATAGCTATAGATAGATGATAAAGACAGCTAGAGATAGATAGATAGATAGATAGATAGATAGATAGATAGATAGATAGATAGATAGATAGATAGATAGATAGATAGATAGATAGATAGATAGATAGGACACAGAGACAGACACACAGACAGATATAGCTATAGGTGATAAAGATTGATAACTAGCTAGACAGACAGACAAAATGATATAGCTATAGATAGATGATAAAGATAGCTAGAGATATATAGAGATAGATAGATAGATAGATAGATAGATAGATAGATAGATAGATAGATAGATAGATAGATAGATAGATAGATAGATAGATAGATAGATAGATAAAGATAGCTAGAAATAGATAGCTAAAGATAACAGATGAGAGAGAGAGAGATGCTGATAAAGAAAAGTGAAGTTGATGCGTCTTGTAAAGAGAATCTCAGGTGGGACAAATATAAGGGAAAGGTATAGAAATAATTTGTCTCCTTGAGATACACTATTAGTTAAAACTGCTCACCTGTCTCTTTTTTTAAGAACGCAAAACATTATCCTGACAGCCTTTCCCATTACACAAATAGTCAGACAAGCATTTAACATTGTCTTTCCCTATGATTCAGGATGCCAGTTAGGAGTTATTTCTCACAGTTATGCCAATAATACATTCAGGAGACTATTGCTTTAGGACGCAACTCCTTCAATGCCCCCAAACGGCGTACCTTTGTATTATGGTGATACAGCAAGCCACGATTCTGACTGGTCCGGAAGCTAAAACCAGTGTAGAAGTCTTGTAACGGGGGGACGTTCCTCAGCGAGAGAGTCAAGTAGCCGGAGCCATGAAGTTTCACCGAGCGAGCAACCTGGAAAAGGACAGGTGTAACACCCAGTGAAGTGGGTTATCCTTAGTTTAAAAAAACCAAACAAAAAACCAGGGCTACCAAAAGAACAGAATGGTTAGTTATGATGCCATTGATCCTGGTGGGCAAGAAGAACCGCAACATGAAGTAAGATTAGCATCAATTGTAGAGTTTAAGAGGGGGATGAAACTACACAGTTTAAGTAAGATGTCTGAGTGATTGTTATGAACAGTTTCTTGGTTGCAATAGGCCACGTGCTGATAGTATCTGGATGCTGGTGGTAGATGATACTGACAGCCATTTGTTCAGAATGGTATAGGACAGCGGTCTTCCAACTTGGTAACTTTAAGACTTGTGGACTTCAACTCCCAGAATTCCTCAGCCAGCCCTGGCTGGCTGAGGAATTCTGGGAATTGAAGTCCACACTTCTTAAAGTTGCCAAGTTGGAAGACCCCTGGTATAGGATCTCCTGCTTGAGCAAGGGTTGGACCAGAAGACCTTCAAGGTCTTTTCCAACCCTGCTATTTTATGTTCCATCTCAAGTTTTTATTGTTGCAGGAGGAGCTTCGGTTGGAGTAGGGCAGGGGTATGCAACCTTGGCTCTTTTATGACTCATGGACTTCAACTCCCAGAATTCCTGAGCCAGCATGGCTCAGCATGGAAACCTCTCCCTTTCTCCTCAGCATGGCTGGCTCAGGAATTCTGGGAGTTGAAGTCCATGAGTCATAAAAGAGCCAAGGTTGCCTACCCCTGGAGTAGGGAGTCCAACTACTGCTTTACCTCCAGAGAAAAAACTGTCAGTGCTTAAATGCTGAATACAGGTAGTCCCTGACCCACAATCATTTGTTCAGAGATCGTTCGAAACCACGATGGAACTGAATGATGGGACTTACGACTGGTGCTCAAAGTTACAGCTGTTGCAAGTGTCCCCCGGGGTCACATGACTGTGATCTGGGTTCCCTGCAACCCGTTTTGCCCTTACAAAGGGGTGGACAACCCCTCTGTGATCATGTGGCCTCCATCTGCAATTTCCCCTGCCAGCCTCCTCAAAACAGTCAAGAGAGTGAGGGTTAGGGTTAGGGTGATATTGGGAAAGGAAGTTGGCAAAGGAAGAAAGCTAGAATAAGGTTGAAAAAACTGGGATTCTGACTCATTAGAGGGGATTTTATATTGCCAATTAGAGGGTGAAAGGGAGATGTTGAGATAAGGGGAATTTTGGTTATTAGATTTACAATATTTGGAAACCAGTTGAAAATAAGGACTTTATCGGTTTAATATTTAAAAATTAGACTTAAAAGGGAAAAGAAAATTAAATATTATGAATACTTTTGATTTATTGATTAACCCAGGCAATACATATAATGGTTTTGATCTATTAAAGGGGATATTGTGTTATTAAGTAGATGATTTAATATGGTGGGAAATAGATAACTCTTAGGACGTAGAACAAGATTATATTCAAATAGATAAAATGTGTATTTTGGATATCATAGTTTGTTATGAAGTGAGATAAGGGAAATTTTGATTACCCAAAGTCTGAAAATTATAAATATCAAAGGTTAAATTGGAATATCGATAAGAAATTAAAAGTTGAGTAAAAATCAATAACCGGACATGGATTGTTTATGAAGATTGAATGTAATTAAGATATGTATAAGTTAAAAATTTATTGAAAAATGTAATAATGATGTTCTTATTGAGCTGATATAATCAGAAATGTATATGAATATGAGACAGTAAATGTTAAGGGAAAAAGAGAAGAAATATTTGAAGTTGTAACCTGAGATTTGCACTGAGATTTTGTTATTGAACTATTGATTAACATTAACCCAGTCACTACATTGCCTTTTAAATATTCAAATGTAAAATTAATAAAATATTATAAAAACAAAAGTCAAGAGGGAAGCCGGCGGGAAAAGTCACAAGTTGCTTTCTTCCTCTGGCGCAACACGCAGGTTCCCCTGCCTTCCATTGGCTAGCGTACAACGGGAAGGGATCCGGTGTGACATACCAGAGAAATTAAGCTTGAAACGAAGCTCAGATCATAGGGATCCGTGCTTTCTTTCTCCGACCCAGCGTGCTAGTTCTATGAGAGAGCAGAGCTGCCTGTCCTTTTTCAGCAGGCAGTTCTTTCACCCCGTTTATTTAGTGACCGCACTGGGATAGCCAGGAGAGTTGTTGTTCAGCGAGGCGATCAAGAGGGAGCCTCGCTTAACAGCCGAACCGACTGACGAGTGTGATGGGCAGGCTCCCTTACGGTCAGAAGTCAAGGATTACCTGCCCTAACAAAGCCAGCTTTTCCCAAAGCTGGGCACTACAGTAAAGAGGTCAATCAATCCATCGTCTTACCAGGAGATCCAAGGTGCACCCATAACTCACTCCGATGGTGTTCATACGCTTTAAGTCCACGTATTTGCCCAGAGCTTTCAGTCCTTTCATGCAACCTCTGATGGAGCCTCCTTTGGGGAATGTTTTCTTCAGTCTGGAAAACAGGACCAGGTTGAACAAGAAATATTTGTGTTTTCAAAGGCTCAGTATCTTTAGAACTGGGAGGGGAATCAGAAAGCACCCAGGTAGAGAGGATTTGGGCAGATGGGTGGATCAAGGAACAAAAGGAACAGAGTTACCAATCCACGTTCCTTTTCCATAAATCCCAGCCGCCAAAGCAGAATAATAAAAAGAAATGAAAAGACTGAATACCCAAATTTAAAGAACTCCTGATCCCAACTGACCGTAGGCACAGGACAACACAATAAAAAGTGTAGTAGACACAAGAAAACAAAGTTCCACCTGCAATCATGAATTACAAGAAAATCTTACTTTTCGGGCAAGATGGAGGTGGGCACCCCCCCTAAATAATAAGAGGTGGCCCCATGCAAAATGTTTTCTTGCTCAATCATGAAGACAGTCGATTGCTCCAGACGGACCAAAACACGATCCTTGGAACCCATTTTGAGGAGAAATAGCTGGATCTGGAATTAGACAAAGCAGACATGTCCATGGGACGGCTCCTGGTATCAGAAGGGAGTTTCACTCACAAAAGAGGCAGTTTCACTCAGGATTCAGACATTCTTCTCAAAGTATCACCCAGGGGTAGGCAACCTCGGCTCTTTTATGACTCATGGACTTCAACTCCCAGAATTCCTGGCTCAGGAATTCTGGGAGTTGAAGTCCATGAGTCATAAAAGAGCCGAGGTTGCCTACCCTGACCTAAGCTAAGGAGACCACTGCACTCTAGAAAGAGTGCAAAGAAGAGCACCTAAGAGGATTCAGGGCCTGGCGACAAAAACATATGAAGAACGGTCGCAGAAATTGGGTATGTCTAGTCTAGTGAAAAGAAGGATCAGGGGGGACATGTTCCAGTATTTGAGGGGCTGCCACAAAGAAGAAGAGGGAGTCAACCTATTATCTAAAGCTCGATTCAGTGGGTTGGAACTGCATACAGCTAGTCCTCGACTTACAACCACAATTAAAACCAAATTTCCATAGCTAAGAAAGGTGGTTGCCAAATGAATCGCGCCCAATTTTACAACTTCTTTTTGCCATGGATGTTAAGTGAATCGTTGCAGTTAAGCGAATCGTGTAATCATTACACAAAATCCAGCTTCCCCCGTTAACTATGCTTGTGGGAAGTCCCATGGGAAGGTCACAAAGTGTGATCACATGACCTCAGGACACTTGCAACCATCATAAATATATGCCATTTGCCAAGTGACTCAATTTTGATCACATGACCTGGGGATGCTGCAACAGTTGCTAAGTGTGTGGATTGGTCATAAGTCACATTTTTTCAGTGCTGCCGTAACTTCGGATGGTTCCTAAGCACATTTTTGTAAATCGAGGACTCCCAAGTAATTTGAAGTCAATCACAGCCATTCTGTGGCCAGTCAAATCTGAAATTCCCTCATCCATTGAAAGAATGAAAGGACGTCCTTCTGCCCCGGGTCGCGATAATTGAAAGGCACAAGTTCAGTCATTACCGCTTTGTTTGCGTGATTGCTAACTATCAGGGTGGCCTGATCCCTTGAAGGGGGCGCCATGTTCAGACCTCCACCGAAGTCGTAATACAGCACGAGCTTTCCGTCTCGAACAGCCAGGCAGAGCAGTTGATTCTGTGGGAGGAAAAGGACAAATCGCTTTCAGGCTTTGGCGTCTAAAAGTCCATTCTCTTCTACTGTATATAAAAAGTAAAGGCTTCCCCCTGTTCAGTTGTGTGTCCAACTCTAGGGCACAGTGCTCATGTCTGTTTTTTGGCTGAGGGAGCCAGCATTATCCAAAGTCATTTTCAGCTAACGAGTAGGCTGGCTTGGTTGCTCAACAGCGAGACACTGGTGAAGCGGGCACAGCAGCGCCTGCATTTTCTGCTTCGCATGAGAAAAGCACATCTTCCTTCCCCTGTCCTGACCACTTTCTACAGGGGGACAATCGAGAGCATTCTGTCATACAGCATCACAGTCTGGCTTGGAAGCATCACTGCTTCAGACAGGAAGGCGGTGCAGAGAGTGGTGAGGACAGCAGAAAAGATTATTGGCAGTCCCCTCCCTCCCATCCAGGACATAGCACAGAAGCGTTGCTTAAGCAGGGTCCATAAGATTATATGGGACACTACACATCCTCTTCACGACCTGTTTTCCTTGTTACCTTCTGGGAGGAGGGGGCTTCGTGGTATCCATAGCAGAACATCCAGATTCAGCCATAGTTTCATTCCATACAGCATTAACCTTGTGAACTCTCAAGCTTCCTCCTTCCGTTATATATTCAAGATGGACAGTATTTCATATTTATTTGTTATGTACATATAGGGGTGTGGGTCTATACATATGTTGTATATAGTATGTTTAGGTGTGTGTCATTATGTGTTTCACTTTGAGAGTGGGCAACTAAGTTTCATTTTTGATGTGTGCCATTGTGCCCACAGTAAAAAAATGACAATAAAGGTTATCTTATCTATCTCTTATCTCTATGGTCATGTGACCAGAATGACTATACGTCAAAGGGGCAAGGAACGCTGTTACCTTCCCCCCAAAGTGGTACCTATTTATTTATTTGCATTTGCACTCTTTTGAACTGCTAGGTGGGCAGGAGATGGACCAAGGGACGGAGCTCACCCCATTGTGAGCTCACCCAGGCTGTCAGCTTTCCAGCTGACAAGCTCAGCGTCTTTAACCATCGCGGCCCCGCCTATGGTATATAATGCTGTTTTAATCTGGGAAACAGCACAGGAAAATGAGGACATATTTTTCTACATTTGTCTCCTCGGATCCACCCGAGGTGTTTTGGTGATATTTCTTTCTAACATCACTTGTACCAAGCAACCCGGATCCTCGCCACATTATCAAGAATTGCCAATCAAAGTGACACTTGCCTGGTGCTTCAAGAAGAAAATGATCCCATGGTAGGACACCAACCGCATCTCCTGCTCAAAGCGTTTGATGGAGCCCAGCTGACTCTCAAAGATGATTTCCGCATATCCAGTCCCATCGAAATAGGAGCCATCAGTCAGCCAGGGATCGCCCGTTGATTTAGATCTTTGAGAAGAAGGGAAGAATGGATGAGTGATATGCTCAATCTACACTGCTGTATTCTAGAAATTAAGAAATTGGAGATTTAAAAAAATATATACTATTGGTTGTGTTTTGAGGAAGGAACATTGATGGAAGACAGTGAGCTTAGCTTGATGGAATCTTCTTGTTTCTGGACAGGGGATCATCAAATCAAATTACGTACAGGTAGTCCCTGTTTAGTGACCGTTTGAAGTTACAATGGCACTGGGAAAAAATGATTTGCAACCAGTTCTCACCCTTAAAATCATTGCAGAATCCCCACGAACACCTGATCAAAATACGGGCACGTGGCAACTGTGATGTGTTTACAATGGCTGCGATACCCTAGGTCAGGGGTCTTCAAACTTGGCCCTTTTATGACTTGTGGATTTCAACTCCCACGCTGGCTGAGGAATTCTGGGAGTTGAAGTCCAGAAGTCATAAAAGGGCCAAGTTTGAAGATCCCTGCCCTAGGTCGGGGGTAGGCAACCTTGGCTCTTTTATGACTCGTGGACTTCAACTCCCAGAATTCCTGAGTCAGCTATGCCTACCCCTGACCTAGGTCATGTGATCACCACATGTGACTTTCTCAGCCAGCTTCTGACAAGCGAAGTCAATGGGGGAAGCCCGACTTGCTTAATGACCGCAGTGATTTGCTCAACAAAAAGTTGTAAAATTGTGTGCGACTCACTTAACAACTTCCTTGCTTAGCCACGGAAATTCTGGTCCGAATTGTGGTCGTTAAGTGGAAGACTACCTGTATCACCATGTCTATCTTCCAGGAAGGAAGTTTGTTGACCACACCACCACCAAGCTTACCTTGTGCAAGGCCTCTCTGCAGTGGTGTCCAGGTGGAATGTGCGCTGGAAATTGTACAAACTCATCACCTCTTCGTTAAGAGAATCCATCTCTATACAGCCTCGGTAGTTAGGATAGCGCAGAGGTAGAGGAGGCTGTTGGGGGAGAAAACAATCCATTGGCTGAATCCCTAGGAGCAGGAATCTTGTTTTCCATTTTCCCCAGCAGAAATAATCACACACACACCCATCTGGTTACTCAAGCTGTAAGTTGGTTGCTTCTGTAAGTTCTTACTGCCTGCTTCAGTTGCGTAACTGTCCTGCTTTTACATCTTTGTCAGAACTGCCATCCTATGCTTGAGCGTCACATTCGCTAGCTGCCAGTCTGCCATGAACTATGGGGAGGGTGGGGAAGGAGCTAACAACTCATTGTGCTTTCCAGAGGTGTCATCTCAAGGTCAAAGGGATGGGAATGGAAGGCTCACCAACCAGCCCGCTGTTGAAGAGACTGTTCCCAAAACAATTTATTCAAATATAATTGGACAATAAGGGACCAGCAGAGGGGAAGATCTAGATGGGGAAAGTTAACCGGAAAAATTTGCCGCGCGAACCTCAGTTCTGGCTTTGCTATACTGTATTCTACTTGGCTTTTAGCAAAGTACACCTTTTGATCCAAATGATGCCTAGAGGACCAAGTTGGGGCAGGCCTGACAATCTTGCTTGATGGAAACAGAAGATTGTCTCTGGTTACTAGCCCACTTGAATATGGATTTCCCAGGGAAACACAAGTTTTCTCACATAATTAATTGTCAGCTAGTTAAATTCCCTGTGAAGCTTCCACCCTTAGCTTAGTTTGGTCTAGTGCAGGGGTAGGCAACCTTGGCTCTTTTATGACTCGTGGACTTCAACTCCCAGAATTCCTGAGCCACCCACGCTGAGGAGAAAGGGAGAGGTTTCCAAGCTGAGCCATGCTGGCTCAGGAATTCTGGGAGTTGAAGTCCACGAGTCATAAAAGAGCCAAGGTTGCCTACCCCCTGGTCTATTGGTTAAAGCATTAGGCTAGAAAGCAGGGGACCTTGAGTTCAAGTCCTGCCTTTAAGAATGGCTGATTTTGGCCTAATCACCAGGAGTCTCTGAGTACTAGTCNAAGTTGGAATTGATTGATTGAACTTTTTAGTCCCACCCAGTCTGCCGTTACCACCGCAGCCACGCCCACCCAATTGGCCATGCCCACCCAATTGGCCATACCCAGCCAATGGGCCACACCCACCCGGCACTCGACGATGCATAAGTGGGTTTTGGGTTGTAGTTTGGGCACTCGGTCTCTAAAAGGTTCGCCATCACTGGTATATAATGCTGTTTTAATCTCGGGAACAGCACAGGAAAATGAGGACATATTTTTCTACATTTGTCTCCTTGGATCCACCTGAGATGTTTTGGTGATATTTCTTTCAACATCACTTGTACCAAGCAACCCGGATCCTCGCCACATTATCAAGAATTGCCAATCAAAGTGACACTTGCCTGGTGTTTCAAGAAGAAAATGATCCCGTGGTAGGACACCAACCGCATCTCCTGCTCAAAGCGTTTGATGGAGCCCAGCTGACTCTCAAAGATGATTTCCGCATATCCAGTCCCATCGAAATAGGAGCCATCGGTCAGCCAGGGATCGCCCGTTGATTTAGATCTTTGAGAAGAAGGGAAGAGTGGATGAGTGATATGCTCAATCTACACTGCTGTATTCTAGAAATTAAGAAATTGGAGATTTAAAAAAATATATACTATTGGTTGTGTTTTGAGGAAGGAACATTGATGGAAGACAGTGAGCTTAGCTTGACGGAATCTTCTTGTCTCTGGACAGGAGATCATCAAATCAAATTACGTACAGGTAGTCCCTGTTTAGTGACCGTTTGAAGTTACAATGGCACTGGGGAAAAATGATTTGCAACCAGTTCTCCCCTTAAAATCATTGCAGCATCCCCACGAACACCTGATCAAAATACGGGCACTTGGCAACGGTGATGTGTTTACGATGGCTGTGATACCCTAGGTCAGGGGTCTTCAAACTTGGCCCTTTTATGACTTGTGGACTTCAACTCCCACGCTGGCTGAGGAATTCTGGGAGTTGAAGTCCACTAGTCATAAAAGAGCCAAGTCTGAAGATCCCTGCCCTAGGTCAGGGGTAGGTAACCTTGGCTCTTTTATGACTCGTGGACTTCATCTCCCAGAATTCCTGAGTCAGCTATGCTGACTCAGGAATTCTGGGAGTTGAAGTCCACGAGTCATAAAAGAGCCAAGGTTGCCTACCCCGACCTAGGTCATGTGATCACCACTTGTGACTTTCTCAGCCAGCTTCTGACAAGCGATGTCAATGGGGGAAGCCAGACTCGCTTAATGACCACAACAAAAAGTTGTAAAATTGTGTGCGACTCACTTAACGACTTCCTTGCTTAGACACAGAAATTCTGGTCCGAATTGTGGTCGTTAAGTGGAGGACTACCTGTGCCACCATGTCCATCTTCCAGGAAGGAAGGTTGTTGACCACACCACCACCAAGCTTACCTTGTGCAAGGCCTCTCTGCAGTGGTGTCCAGGTGGAACGTGCGCTGGAAATTGTACAAACTCATCACCTCTTCGTTAAGAGAATCCATCTCTATGCAGCCTCGGTAGTTAGGATAGCGCAGAGGTAGAGGAGGCTGTTGGGGGAGAAAACAATCCATTGGCTGAATCTCTAGGAGCAGGAATCTTGTTTTCCATTTTCCCCAGCAGAAATAATCACACACACCCCAATCTGGTTACTCAAGCTGTAAGTTGGTTGCTTCTGTAAGTTCTTACTGCCTGCTTCAGTGGTGTAACTGTCCTGCCTTTGCACCTTTGTCAGAACTGCCATCGTATGCTTGAGCTTCACATTCGCTAGCTGTCAGTCTGCCATGAACTATGGGGAGGGTGGGGAAGGAGCTAACAACTCATTGTGCTTTCCAGAGGTGTCATCTCAAGGTTAAAGGGATGGGAATGGAAGGCTCACCAACCAGCCCGCTGTTGAAGAGACTGTTCCCAAAACAATTTATTCAAATATAATTGGACAATAAGGGACCAGCAGAGGGGAAGATCTAGATGGGGAAAAGTTAACCGGAAAAATTTGCCACGTGAACTTCAGTTCTGGTTTTGCTATACTGTATTCTACTTGGCTTTTAGCAAAGCAGACCTTTTGATCCAAATGATGCCTAGAGGACCAAGTTGGGGCAGGCCTGACAATCTTGCTTGATGGTAACAGAAGACTGTCTCTGGTTACTAGCTCCCTTGAATATGGATTTCCCAGGGAAACACAAGTTTTCTCATATAGTTAATTGCCAGTTAGTTAAATTTCCTGTGAAGCTTCCACCCTTAGCTTAGTTTGGTCTAGTGCAGGGGTAGGCAACCTTGGCTCTTTTATGACTCGTGGACTTCAACTCCCAGAATTCCTGAGCCACCCACGCTGAGGGGAAAGAGAGAGGTTTCCAAGCTGAGCCATGCTGGCTCAGGAATTCTGGGAGTTGAAGTCCACGAGTCATAAAAGAGCCAAGGTTGCCTACCCCCTGGTCTATTGGTTAAAGCATTAGGCTAGAAAGCAGGGGACCTTGAGTTCAAGTCCTGCCTTTAAGAATGGCTGATTTTGGCCTAATCACCAGGAGTCTCTGAGTACTAGTC